TTGACTAATTAAAGCGACATTGCTTACATAGTGAATAATAATATATTTTGAGACCTAGCAGAGTGCTTTCAAAGGGCATCAAATCCCACATGTGAAAAAAATTATTTAAAAAGCAACATTCCCTCTAAACTCACAATGTACTGTTATAGGCAATATTAAATCTCATGAAATGGGCAATATTTACATAATATTTATAAGTATTTACAGCCTATTAAATTAAATTTTTGGACAATCAGATGACCATGGTAGCGGCAATAAGTCACAATTTGCCGGAGATTGCAAAGAGACTGGGATGACAGAAACAAACATTAGATATAAACTCATCAGAAAAGACAACATAAAGTCACAATTACTGAAGAAGCCTTGTAAATATTCCAATTATTTATCCTCACTCTCTCATGACTTCAATCCACAGTACACACTGTGGCCTTAGATGACTTTACTTTATTGTTGCTCACACAAACCACAACTTTTTGTACCTTTCATGTAATTTCAAATCCCACTTATCACTCCTTATCTCAACTAATTGTTACATATTTTATTCTAACATACAATAGTATGTTTGCACTTGACGTCACAGCTTTTCTGTCAGGCATTGTGGGTAGTAAAGAACCAACATGGCGGCTGCATTATTGCCTTGGTACAACTTTTTAACTATTTTTCTTCAAGAATTTTTGGTGAGGATTGGGAACCTCCTTGTGGTGACCATTGGGCACTAGCATATTTTGTGACAAGCGTATTGATAAGTTTTCTTACTTATTTATCGCATACGTTTTTTACTTTGTCCGTGTGGTTTGACTTTGCATCATCCACAAGGTACTTGAGCAAACTTAATATTCTTTAAAGCATCACGGACTCAAATAACGTAAAATTCTAAAGCATGGAAACTATATAAACCACTATTTTTTATGAACTTGGTGAATGAAAAGAAAGGCTATTCCATAAAACAATGTTTTGTCATTGTGTCATCAGTATCTTCTTTGGGAACTGGAAGCTTTTATGCTAACAATAGCCACCAAATATTTCTTCGGCAAAGTCAAACTTAAGATTGTATTATATTGTGTGTTTTAATATTCAAATTTCCCTTCTAAACCTTGAATAAAATCAATCAACTAGTTACAAGTAATAAAATATTGTCTTGGTCAATTTCTGCAAGCAGATAAATATGTTCTCCCATGATCATAGCTATTTAAACTGATGTGAAATAACTCCACTGTATATTGCAAATACAAAAAAATTGTAAATTCTGGTAGTCAGAAGATGTTTAGTCAGAGAAATTAACAACTCATGGATACTGATACCAGAAAACAGACTGTGCACAAAGGTGGCAGCAACTCATTCACATTATTTCCTTTAAAGCAACCTAGTGACAATAGTCCAAATAATCTCAGCTTTTTAAACACAATGTTAACTACAGAAGATGCTGTTTTCGAATGGTCATAGTGAGGTTCTCAGCTTTGACCACCAAAACATTTATCTTGCAAAAAACAATTTAATGAAAATATTAAGTATTTGTATAAGACAAAAGCATTAAAATTTCAGACTGTTTATTACTGGATATTTGATAAATGATATTAATATGATAAAAAGTGAATGCATGGCATCAACATGCAACAATGGACCAATCTTTTCATGTATAATCTCATACAAACAATGGCAAATTCATATCATAAAACAGTTTTCATCAATAATAAAAACTACAGTTCACTCAATGTTGAATGCCACAACAGGTAAATGAGCTGAGAGTTATCATCCTATGAATAAAAGCGACAGGTCCCCTAAAAGTATGACAAAGTTGATTTGGTGGTAAAACTTTTTGAAGATTGGTATATTTCTCTCTCAATGTCACAAGAATTATTTAAATGTGCATCCTAACTGTAGCTACATTTCTTGTCTTGTCTACCTCAACCAAAGCAGGTTGAACCTTTTCTTTCTGTCAGCATGAGCAATATATTATTTAGCAAAAGTTTCCCAACCCAAAAAGTACAATAGATCTTCTGATTTGTCAAACTTCACTCACAAAGCAAAGTGCCCTTAGCACGATATAGCCAGGTTCGTTGGGCTGTGATAATTTTCGGCAAGATTTCATCAATCATTGCATTCAACATACACATTTTATTTCTCGTCCATCTTGACATATGTAACAACAATACAGTTGCTTTGCTAACTGTTTTTGCAATTGTATTTAATGGTTACAATAGACGATCCTCTTCTTTCCCGGCCCAGAGAAGTACCAATTCCAGATTGCAAATTTTGCTTAAACACGATCGTTTTCGAGAACATAGTGCATTATGGCTTAAATCTCGGCAACTATCGTTCACATTCGCAAGTCGCCACTTTACTTAACATACGTTCGTATTACAAAATCTCCGTTTCTTTGTCATATTTCCTTAGGATTTAACAAAAGAAAGGTCCTTTTGCTCAGACCCTGTCGTTTGAATGGTTTAAAACTATGCAATGACGCAATAAATTGAGAAAAAACTTAGTCGATATAAAAGTAAATTGTATTACTGCACAACTTTTAAATCCCCCATAATGGAGACAGTCAAATTTTGTGACGTAGTGGTGAAATAGGTGCAAACACTCTATATATAAAGATTCCATTTACCGGAAATTTTATTTGGTGTGATAATGTCTTGAAAATTAATTCTTAACCACACGCTGTGAATAAATACTCCTTTTCATATATTTTATATTTCATGCCTCTTTCTTGAGCACTCTGACACTTTTCAATATTTATCATAACAATCAGAAATCATCGAATATTATAAAAAAATAATAAAAATGTGTATTATTCCATGTTTTGGAAGAATGGAATTATTTGACACTATTTAGAAAATCATACAATTTAGAAAATTGCCTCTTATTGCTTTCTCTCTATAATCTTTCAATTAGAACTCAAATTAAACTTGATTAAGAGCCACACCAACTTTTATTGCTTGGGCTATACTTCTTCTAGAAGAAACTGTTGCTCAGTAAATATGGACTCAAGAATATATTATACATGAAAAAAGTAACGTATTAAGTATCAAATTTTTTTTTTTGAAATTTCTAAATTATAATAACTCACCGAGTACATAATGTTACTAAACTTGAAACAAGTATAAGACAGTCCGTCTACAGCCAAATTCGATGTTTCATCAAATAACGCAATAGATGTTTTTGTAGGTAAATTGAAGATGACGTTGTCTAAAATCAATATTATGAATTGAATTGATGTGATGTTTTCATAATTAAGCAATCAATCAAATTGAATTGAAAATGTTATTTGATTGAAAGCCTCATGTATATACAGACGAAGTGTTTTTTCGTGACGATAGTAAGGAATGTCTGTAGATGTAGATCGTTCAGGTTAGTATAGTCCTGAGAAGGACTGTTTTTGTTGTTGTTGACTGACGTTTCGACAACCTTAACGGTAGTCATCTTCAGAGTCAAATAAGGACTAAACGTTCGGTTAGCCGTATTTGTTGTCTGGTTCTTACGTCATTGAATTATGTGTACAGGAATTGTGTGGATGGCAATTGTGTATTATCATTGTCGATTACTGTGAAGTGTAATGCTTTTAGTTGATCGTTTGTTTGCATTGTGAATATGTCGTTTGTAAGGTGCCTGTAATTTCTGTGATCTGTTCAGGGGTTCTAATGTAAGCCATTGTCTATAGTCAGTGCTGTAAGTAATGAATTTTGCCGAGTCCAAGTCAATGTTGTGCTTTGTCTGTCAGTGATGTTCGACAATGTGATTAGTTTTGTCTTGTTTCTCTGTAGATCGTTTGTGTTCAGTAAGTCTCATTAGTAGGTTGTAAGATGATTGGTCTAGTAGTCGGTCAATATGTGTTGGCTTGCGATAAACTGTTGTTTGTAGTTTTTTATTGTCCTGTTTTACCAAACAGTCGAGAAAAGGAAGAGTTCCGTATTCTTCGACATCTTAGGTAAATTGTATGTGGCAGTTTTGTTTGTTGATGATGTGAATGTGAAAGTCATCAATCTCGTCATCTACGTAGCGGAACCAACAAGTTAGTACATGTTTCTAAGTCGTGAGCGCCCGTTCCTCTATAGATTGCATTACAATTTCAGCAACTACAACAGAAATGGGTGAGCCCCTTGCTGTTCCGTGTAATTGTTTGTAGTGTGTACCTTTTTACTGGAAGAAAGTCGAGGTGAGGCAGAGCTCCAGTAGTTCCATGATGTCTTCTGTCGGTAATGGCATTACGTCCGTGGGGTTTGCAATGAGGTTTTTTGTACAAGTAACTGCCAGATTAAGTGGAATACTGGTGAACTGTGATTTCACATCAAAAGACACTAGTATATAGTTGTTGGGTATTTGTATAGTGCTTAGTTTTTTAATGAAGGTTTCAGTAGATTGTAACTTGTGCTTTGATTTGCTTGTAAGTGATTGCAGTATGTCAGTCAAGTACTTTGAGAGGTCGTAAGCAGGCGAACCAAAGAATGAAACAATTGGTCTCATGGGTATTTGTGGTTTGTAAAGTTTTGGTAGTCCTTATAGTCTGGGTGGTCGTGGTACTGAACATCTAAGTCGATAGTAAATACGTTTAGATTTAACGTTATATTTTCTCATAAAGAAGATCTTGCTGTTAATTTTGCGTACTAATAGTATTGGGTCTTGTTTTAGTAATTCGTACATTTGTCTGTTGTTAAGAAGGGTATCAATTTTCTCAAAGTAATCCGTCCTGTCCATGACCACAGTCATGCGTTCTTTGTCCGCTGGTAAAATGACGATGTTGTTGTCGTGTTTTAGGCGTTTTATTGCTTGTTGCTCATCCTTTGTCAAGTTGTTATCACGTGTTCTGATCTCGTCTTTGGTTGTCCCTGACAAGTCTCTTTGATACGATAGGACAGCCTCGACACTTGATGCCAACGTCTCAGTCGGGATTCGTTTAAGTGTTATGGAATGTTTTAGTCCGTAAGGCAGTAGTCGTGTTTCAGTTTCGTGTAATGAGCGAGAAGAAATATTCCTCACCCAGTTATCGTCATGTTTATGTCTTATGTACGTGTTTTAGTGCGTTTTAAACGTTCAAGTTTTTGATGTTTTTTTTCTTTGGTGTTGTGTCTCAGTATTTTTTCTGCAATGGTTTGTATCGTGGAAAGTAAAATGTCACTTACTGTCGTTGGTATGAGTTCTTTCAGTTTGTTCAGTCTTTGTTCTTGTTGCTTGATGAACATCTTACCTGACTTTGATTCACACAAATGAAGCCAAGACCTTCCAGATCCAATACTCCATTTATTTTTTGCACTATCCCAAACAATAGCACCCCTCTCGCCGTATCTGCTATTTCTAACCCATCCCATTTCGTTATTATACAATCGTCCATCTTGCCAGAACCACTTGTTCTTATTCTTCGACAAGCCAATAGTTATCTGAAAAGGGACAAAAATTCTTATATTACTCACCATAAATTTCCAAGCAAACAAAAATTACTACATTACTACGATATCTTCATCATTTCATTTACATTAGTATATTACTGTGATATTTTCATGTACTATGGTATTTTCATTATTTCATTTTTTTGATATCTAAAAAATATTTGAGTAATAGGTACTTAATTAACATAATTAAACTCAATTTTATATTTTCCATCACAAGTATGTTTCGACTTAAGTACAAGCCATCTTTAATATGAGTACACATTTTTTACAGTGTGAAATTTTTGTAAGGTTGAAATATTATACATGCAGGTGAGGTGATACTCAACGGACAGATCAATTACTTACAAATTATTAAAGACTACTGACATGATAGCCGTAGCTAGGACTAATGTAAGGAGTGAATAATGGAAAATCGATTTAAATTTTTGTTGTTTAGCGAGGCTAGTAATCATGCTTATGAAAAGGTCTTCTTTTAGTTTAAGGGTTGATGATGGTATTAGCAATGCGTGGTATAGTTAAGCAAGAGGGTGTATCTTGATTTTGATTCGTGATTTTCTCATGATATATTGGTGAAAAGGTTTTCAACGCCAATGGATATTTGGAAATTATATGATTAATTTTAATAAATTGTAAACAAACAGGAATGAATCTTTGGTGATATAATGGTATGGTACAAGCAGACTAAGCGTGTAAAAAACTGGCTACTCTCACCAGGCGGACTAAAAATTTGACCAAAAATAATATATCTGAAATGACATGCGCATTATTCAAAAACAATTTGTAGTACTTTTTCTTATTCCTTCATTCTACGCTTTTATTTGTTCGTTCGTAATATAAATGTTACAGAATGTCAAAGTTTGCATAGTAACCTAGCAACTGTCTTTCTTCGTGCATTTCAATTCTTATTTGCGTAAATTTTCCACGGATGGCAGAACAAACAAATTGACACAATACAATTTTATTTTAGAAGTTTTTGATTCTGGTTAGGCTTAGGAACTTAGTCCATGCACAAATCTATCCAAAAGCATCAAAGCATGTCCACATGTATTAATGAGACGTAGCTGGAAGTGCAAATGTAGTTGTACACAATCGAGCACAAACACGCTTGGAGAAGGCAGGTCTTTTTCTAGAATTTAACAATTAAAAAGGCCTTACTTTTAACGGAGGTCTTTAAGGGGAAGTCTTTGTTCCAACAACTTGTGCTCAAATGACAGACAAAGCAATTTTACATTCCTTACAAAGTTTAAAAACGTAGAAATAAATAGAAGCCGAGATATTTAGGAAAGAACTAAAGAGGTTTTTACGTTTCGTCAGTAATCATTTGTACATTCAAGCAACCCGCAATTGAGCAGCGGTTTCAGTTAGTGACGTCACTGCATGGTTGAGTAAGAAATAAAGGGATATTTATTTACTTTACATAATTAACCACCTTTAAAAGACCCGCAAAGTATGCGGTTTTTCAGAAATTTTAAATTGATTGCTATTCAATTCCTGTTAAAAAGGAGAACGTAGAAGAAATAATAATTCAACCCCACACAGGATTGATTCAACCGTACATTTTTGAGACAGTAGAAGAAACATACTCTTAGGAAGATGGCATTGCCGTCGATTGTGCGTCATCGCTCTCAGGTTCCAAAAGTGCCACTAACAGACTTCAAGAAAAATACTGGTAACTTTTGAAGTTCCATGTAATGTGTCAATATTGTAGTTATTAGTTGTAGAACTTAAACAATTGCTTTCCGAAATAGCATTACAAATTGTAAAATGTGTTTTAAAAATTACTTAGAAAACGCTTTTCACTTTTGCTAAAATTCAATTAATAAAATTCTCAAGTGTCTCTGTAGCCATTTCTAAATCATGGATAGATAAGAATGCATATGCTGCAACAAAGTTTTAGAGTGTGTTCATAAAAATAAAGAAATGGTAGCATTTGAGAATGTTTCCATTCCAAGTTGCATTACAGATAACCTTGGGAGCTATAATCTCTTGGCCTAACTTGCTAAAACACCATTTAACAGCAATGGTCATTTTGGCAATTCCACCATATTGCTGTCTATATCCATTTCAACATATTTAAGATTAAGACAAACAGATTTTAAGTCCAGGGTTAACTGTAATACAGCTTTCGATAGGAATATTCTCAAATGAACCCACTTTTCACTTTATGAACGCATTCCAGAATTTGGTGGCAGTATATGCATTCTTAACAATCCATGATTTAGCAATTGCTACTGAGGGTGTGTTTACATGAATCCGGAATGACTTTCTATCCGGAATGAACTCATTCCATTTTAAAAGAAATTCTATTGTATGTTTACATGAATCCGGAATGAGTTACAATTCGGGATCGGGATCGAGCTTATTCCTATTTTCATTCCAGATCGAAATTTAGTTTTAATCTCATGTAAACGGGAATTCAGTTTCATTTTGGAATGAGATTGTGATTAATGACAAAGCACTCATGCGCCATGCGTAGTGTCTTCTGGGAAATTGAAGCTCGTGGGCAAATAAGGAGGCTAAATGGGCTAAAATGAGTGCGAAGAAAAACAACAATTAGTTTCATGCAAGTGTTAAGCTGTATTAACGCAGGAGCAACAGAAAAAAAGGGTTGCTATAATGTTTATGTTCGCCATCTTCAAATTTCAAAATTCCCGCGAAATGTCAATCCTTGTGTTGATTTCCCATGTAAACACGGATTGACATCACGTTTCGATCGGGATTGAAAGTCATTCCGGATTCATGTAAACACCCTCTGAGACATCTAAGCATTATATTATCAAATTTTAGCTCATGTTAAAAGCGATTCCTAAATGTTTCAACGAAATTTTACAATTTGTAATACTACTTAAGAAAGTAATTGGCCAAATTCCACAAATAATAACTGAAATATTGACATATTATAAGGAGCTTCAAAAACTCCCAGTATTTTTCTTGAAGTCTGCTAGGGGTACTTGCAAAACCTGAGTACGATGACGCACTATCGACGGCTATACTATCTTCCTCAGAATCTGTTCTTCTACTGTCTTAAAAGCGTACGGTTGAATAAATCCTGCGTCATGTTATACTACTATTTCTTCCCTACTTTCCTCTTCACTGAAATTAAATAGCTATCGCCTCAAAATTCGTTAAAAAACGTATACTTTGCGGGTCTGGTTGACAATGTAAAGTAAATAAATATCCCTTTCTTATTTATACTCAACCGCACAGGGATGCCACTATCTGAAACCGCTGCTCCATTGCGGGTTAACTCGAATGTACAAGTGATTGCCGACGAAACGCGCGAAATTTCGCATTTATTTTCTAAATATCTTGGCTTGTATTTGTTTTTAAGTTTTTGGACTTTTGTAGGGAAAGTAAAAATTGCTTTATATCTATCATTTGAGCTTAAGCTACCGAAAATAAAGACTTCCCCTTTAATCAGTAAGCCTACACCACCAATGAACATTGCAGTGAGGAGTCGTGATAAACATTAGCGCACGTATTGCATCAGAAGCATTCATTAACCAGTAGCTATCCATCAGTCTTGAAAATCACCACACGCTATCATTTACAATTAGTAAGCATGCCTTTTTGAGAGGAATGGGAGGATCATTTTCAAGACATGCGTAATAAGATAAACAAGAAGCTAAGCCTTTTGCGGCGCATCAAGTCGTGTCTCCCACTAAGCGCTAGGATAACTTTCTTTAATTCTTTTGTTCTGCCCCTTTTTGACTACGGCGATATAATATAGGGAGACCGGGGCAACACTTCACTTATGACAGAGCTACAGATCCTTCACAATAAGGCTGTGCGAATCATTTTAGATCTACCACCTACTGCTTCCGCGAGCGATGCACTTTCAAAGCTCCATTGGAAACCTCAGAAAGGCGGAGAGCCGAGCATCGTGCTATTTTCATGTTTAAGGTAGTTAATAACCTTTTTATACACACTTTTCACAGCTGTTTTAACAGTGACTATCATAACTATAATACACGATCAAAGCGAAATATCCGCAAATCATTCGCACACAGAAGATGGGGGCACTGGATAACAATAAATTTTGCAGCGGACGTTTGGAATGCCTTACCCCTTTCCCTAAGAGATGTGCCCAGCTTAAGCCAATTTAAGCGTGGTATCAAGAAAGCACTATTTTAATTAGTTTCGTTTTTTGCATGTTGATTTTCAAATGATGTAGTTTTATCTTCATATTTTTCGATTTGTATTCTTTTTCTTTTTATTTTTAAGTAGTTATATTATATTTAGTTACTTTTAAAGGACCCCTCTGTAAACCACTTTTTAGTGATGTTGGCATCCTCAATAAAGATTACCTATTATTATTATTATTATTGTTAGAAAGCTTTACAAAAGTCACCCCCATTTACTTCAACTGACTTAACATTTATTTCACATGTGCACTGGAAATGCATGATCTCGTTATAGAACTTGCATTATATCCGCCTTTTTGCGAAGATGGTTTTATCTCTTATATATTTCGGAGATCTTAAAAAAACCAATGAGTTAAGTTCCGCAATAAATTCAACGTCTTAAAGCTGCACAGACTATTATTTTAAAATTGGCACAGCGAGTGTTGCTCAAAAGATGTTTTCCAATCGCTGAATCACATAGGATCGGATTTTCACTTTTACACCCACGTTTTGGTAGTTGTCGTAAAGGAACCGTTTTATATGCATTTCGGCAGACTACTCATCAGGTTTCAACGTCTTCTAAATGAGAACCTCCAAACTAAAATTCCACCATAGTTTTACTGATGAGTTTAAACAACAAAATTTTTCGATTTATTCTAATCTAACGACGTCTTTTCACTAATGTGCCCTTACTAGTCTTTTCACTAATGTGCCCTTAGAAGAAACCATTGACATTTGTGCTCAAAATCTTTTTCACTCGGGCATGTCTTTGCCGGACATGTCTGAGAATGCCTTTAGAGAACTAATGATGGCTGTAACAATAGGTGTGGAGTTTAGTTTTGATGACACCATGTGTAAACAAATTGACGGGGTGGCTATGGGTTCTCCACTTGGACCGGTTCTTGCGAATATTTTTGTTGGCTATCATGAATGCAAAATGCTTGCATCTTCAGATTGTCCGGATTTGCTGTGGTATAAGCGTTATGGGGATGACACCTTTTCTTTGTTTCATAACGATAAAAATCGTGAGCTTTTTCTTAATAAACTTTGCTCTCTTCACCCTGCACTAAATTACACCTCTGAACTAGAGTCAAACAATCAATTAGCTTTTTTAGATGTTATTGTACACAAACGCAATGGTCAGTTCTTAACAAGCATTCATCGCAAAGCAACTTTCACTGGTTTGTACACACGCTTTGCCTCTTTATCTTCGCATAGAGAAAAGATTTCTTTAGTGAAGTGTTTGATAAAGCGAACGCATAGATTGTCCTCAAAAGAGTTTATTGATAGTGATCTTATCTCACTGAAGAATATTTTTGTGTTAAATGGATATCCGGAAAAGTTGCTAGACAAACTTTTCTTATCCACTAACAATGAACGGAATAAACTTTTCGGACCGGCCAAGTGCCCTGTTTTCCTTAAGCTTCCCTGGATGGGTAAGGCCTCTAATGACATCGAGTAGGAAACTAAAAAAAGCACTGAGAGTTTGTTTTTTTGCATGCAATGTGGTCTTTATATTCTCAAAATAAACTACTCTTCCACCCACTCCCAAAGAGTCTCTCCCTGCTCAAATGTCAAGCAATGTAGTCTACGAGTTTAAATGCTCGCTATGTAGGTAAGACTTCTCAAAGGTTGAGTGAAAGAATAAAACAGCATGTGCCAGCTTCTGTCAGGAATAAAACTGTTCCTTTACAACAACTACCAAAGCGTGGGTGTAGAAGTGAAAATCCAATTCTATGTGATTCAGCGATTGGAAAACATCTTTTAAGCAACACTCGCTGTGCAATTGCTTATTCTGATGAAAATTTTAAAATTATTTAAAAAAAATGTCGCTCGTTATTCCAGCTACGCGTCATGGAGTCGGTATTAATTAAATTGACTAATCCTGTCCTTTGCCGACAAAAGGATTACGTGTTTAATCTGTCTCTGTTTTAAGTGTCATCTCTAAAAATAGGGATGACATTGACCTGTTTTAACGTTATAATTATAGCATGGTTTGGAGGTTCTCATTTAGCAGACGTTGACACCTGATGAGTAGTCTGCCGAAATGCATATAAAACGGTTCCTTTACGACAACTACCAAAACGTGGGTGTAAAAGTGAAAATCCGATTCTATGTGATTCAGCGATTGGAAAACATCTTTTGAGCAACACTCGCTGTGCCAATGCTTATTCTGATGAAAACTTTAGAATTATTTTAAAATTGTAACTAATCAAACGGCGTTGCACTTCATTCGTCATAGCAATTAACCTGATTACAATATACATTGTCTCTAATAGTGCATACTTTCTGAATTCAAAATTCTGAAGAAGATCCTGAGTGTTTTTAAGTAAAAGGATAACTGTTCCAATATTTTCATGATATACACCGACTGATCAACCTATATACTTCGTGTGTAACTTTGGGTACAAAATACTTATCTGAGCTAAACTAATGCATGTACAACCAATTCTACATGCATGAGTATTTCTTGACAACATTTTATTACCAAGTCTAAGAAGCTATCTTTCATTTGTTAAACAATTGGCTTCCTTTCTTCTGCCTTAAGATTTGATTTCCCTTACCTTCTATTACAATGCAGCACTTTCATTTTTCACCACCAACACATACTGTTTTTTAAATGCTTGTACTCTGGTTGTTTTTTCTTAAAACAAGATGCGTCAACTTTGCCAATGCACTCAATCTCGGCATCCCTCATTTCACTATTTTTCTAAGCTCCTCCAAAGCTTTCTTTAATTGATAGTCTCTGCCTTAAGTTAGTCGCCAATCTCTTTCCAAAGCAGTAACGCTTAACAATCTCGTATTAGAGCTATATTTAATCAGACTAATAATTTTTCCAATTTTAAACCGAAACTCTGCGATAATTGCTAAGTTATCGCTGAAAGGCTTTTTCTCTTCTGCTGGGAAATCTTGCCCCCCTTTTTGCCACAGAATTTATTATGTTATTTTCTTTTATTCTAATTGCAATTTCAAGTTCAAAGGTATTGATGCTTGTCGCCTGAAATGGTATCAAGTACTAACAATTTCTATGATATACCTTCAGATTATTAATTAAAGATGACCTCCCTCATTTTTCTTTTATTAAATTTTCCATACTATCCAACTCAAAGGACTACTTGATGCTGAATTCGTTGAATTAAGCTAACAAATGATCTGCAGTCTGATTTTCTTAGTTATGGAAATTTTTTGAGGAAGACCTAAGGTATACTTATGACAATTTCTCACAACTTAACTTTCTATCTAATAGCAACTTTTCGGACGAGTGAGTTCACTCCAAATAATTGGACCTCTATTCATACCAATTGCTTCGTCCCATAGGAAAAAACATATTTTGTGCAATGATGACATCAAACTACGTATGAGTCGTGAGGAAACTCCCAGTACATACTTGTTACATGATAGCAACTACTATCATGTAATATCATTATTATATCATATTATAATTTCATACATTACTAATTAGGACATTATCTAGAAGCTTGCTTGCATACGCCAGAAGCTTGCTTACATGCGTCAACATATTTTAGAATCGCAACCGCATGTGTTGTTATTGTGGTTAACTATATCTTGCTGTAACATACTGTATTGTGTATGGGATATAGGTCACAAAACCACAATACTTCCCATTAGATATTATATATATATGAGTAGTTTACACCACTGAGTACAACCTACGAGCACAAGCTACGAGAAGACAAATTTAGGAGGCATAGCCTACCGAAGTAGGTTGACAAGCTACAATCAGACAACTATCTTGGCTTCTGTGCCATAACTATCTTTTGGCTTCTGTGCCTTTAATCTATTTGGAAAACTATTGTGAGTCATTGTTGGACTCACGAACGCTCAAGAATAAAGACTCGCGGTTGTACTCAGACAGAGGAGATAAGTTTTACTCATACGTATTGATATTATTATTAAGACACTTATCTACTTCAATATTTACGCGTTGATTAATAAATTGTTTGAGAAATATAACTGGTTCACACTATCTTTGTTGCGTGTGAAAATAGAACCAAAATTAATAGTTATTCTTTCGGGACCACGCACGTAGCAATACTAAAAAACTACACCTATATTTTCTGCATGATTTTAGTTAATATATAATTTTTGGTCACGCGATCTAAATTACATAACTAAATTGCTTGAAGACCTGGGTTTTGCTATAATGCCATTTTGACCGTGAACAAGACTAGGTTTTCTCGGCTTTATTATCGATTTCTCAACACACCAAATTCTTCCACCGACTTACAAACTAGAAAAAATCACTTTAGGGGTTTGAATATTATCAACGCACTTGTAAATAGCGCTGGTAGTTGGATTGTTCAAAGATTCTTTCCCAGGAATAAACCCTTTAAAAGTGTAATAAATGTTTGTCGAGATTTGTAAATCTACTGCGTTGTCCAATAAAACATTACAGCCCGTATGTACATCCACAAAATTCGATGACGCTTACCAATGTCATTTTTGATGAAATTTTTCATGCACACCGATTCATATTTTGCTTTAACAAATAGCATTTACACGTTGAAACATAATCTATAGTGTAAAAAAGTAATTTTTCAAGTGCAAATGCTCAAAGATACTGGATAGAGCTAAATGAGAAAAGTAAACAGCAATCTTTACTTACATCAGTTTTTCTGGAACTGTCAGCATCTATATCACGCAAGTATTTGGTCATGTTTTCAAAACTTTTCTCATTAAACGATGCAAGAGCTCCAAAGTTTTGTGAGCAGTAATCCTTCATACTCAATGAGTATATGCGACTACATTCAAACCACATACACTTATTCATGATTTCAATCTGATCAGGTTGACATTTTCCAATGTGACTCGCTAAAAAAATAAATTTCCGAAATGAAAAATTATATTCATGAATTTTTGTTTCCAAATATTCTTAATGGAAACATATTTGTAGTTATCATACGATTATTGAAATTTTTGCGCAACAAAACGATGAAATAAAAATCATACGCCTAAAATTTTTGAGCTCCTGATTGGATATAGCATTTTCTTCTCTAGTGAGAAACGTCGTAACTGCATTCTGATTGGATATATCGTTTTTTCACTGGTGACAAAAGGCATATCAAGTGTTACCTCGAACGATGAACAGAATTAAAATTAAAGAAGACAAAAACAATCTTTTTTGATATTATTTGCCTGGACACAATCCGTAAGCGAATTCAATATAAATGTAAGGAAAACGATACAAACAGCAGGACATTGGATTTCTTCGGAAATTTTTATCGTCGAAACATGATTTTCCAAGTGTGGACAATATTGCCGTTAAGAAACTTAATAAATATCGAAGTAAGATTATTACGCTTCCTTTTGAAAGAAAGAAAAACGTAACCAACGAACCTAGGTAGTTCCTTCGTAAGAGAGGAATTGCCTTTTATAATTTTAAGACAGAAACTGCGGAAAAACTGGTTATTCCCGATGAACAAATTATTTGTGTTGTTATATTTTCTTATGCAAATTAGGTGATTGTTTCGAAGCGTTTAAAATTGTTCTATCTCTTCACCGAAAAATTCACTATAATCTAAATTTCAATACTTGCATAATAATAGATTACCGAATGGTTGGTTCGTTTGTACGATTTTTATTATGCACTCATCGAGAAGGATTAACTCGTCCATAAAAATCGTACGCACTTACCAACCATTCGGTGATCTGTTATTATACTTTTATTATTCATATGACGTTTACACAGTTACAGAGGACTATTTGTTAATCTATTTTATTCTCTACATATGTCAGCAACCATGCATGTTTTGATAAAGAGAATTGAAGATGAACAATGCTTTATCAAAACATTCCTATTCTTTAAAAAAGCTGATATTTGTGACAAAGTATATATTACAGAGTATGCAAATGCCTACAAGCCACATGTTGGATTAAAGTTAAAATCAAAATTTAATCCAAAAATGTGAAGACAAGCGATGTATGTTCATAAACTTAAACTCAAATAGTTTTTTTATCAAGCCTATGTTATTGAACCTTATAAAGCACTATGGATTACTGAAAAACATACCGATATTAGAATAATAGCCAATAACAATCATGAAATTTCCAGAAATATTTCGGCGATAGGGTGCAGAAAAAATATTAGAGATATATTTTCCATATCTGTTCCAGGAAAATCTGTAAAATATTGCCAAGTTGTTCCTTCTTCCCCTCTCTCTCACGTAAAAGAACCCGACAACATTTTTTGTAGCTCCTTTAAGATTAGTAGTGAATGTAACGTGATGAAAATTCGAGACTAAAAACATTGGCTTCGTAAACATTTTATTCGGCACTGTTCGCGCTTTAAAATATGAATCCAGATACATATTACAGACTGCCGCATGTTCTAAGATGACGTATTCTAACCATGATGTTTTCTTTTTTAAGACAAAGAACTTTTTCACATCTATACAAAGTAATAAATGAAAACGTAAAACGGGTAGGCAAAAGTGGGCTTTCTATATTAAGTGGCTTCTTAAAGATAAAAGAACGTACTATAAGAGTGCAAAAATATCAAATGGCGCTTGTCTTAGACAGCATTGTAGATAACTTGTGCTGCATGATACTAGCAAAAGCAGTGTTGACTTTCTGTGTTGATATTTTGTGTCGACTTTTTGTGCGAAATACTACATTCCTTCATAAGTATTTCAATGGACAAAAAGAGACTATAAGACTATAAGACTATATCGTTTTTGGTATAGCATTATTGTAAAGTAAATTTTATGTTCTTAGTCATGCTAATAAACCTTAACATTTGGCAAAACATTCAAGTATTGTTCATTTTACATTTTTTTTTTGAAAATAAACGTAAGAAAAATGTGATGTTTTTACGCAGAAACGATGTCTACAAAAAACCATTTTGTATAAACGATGAAAATGGCATTTCTAAGGCTTCGAAATTCAAAATTTCTCCTAGGTAGGGACTCCTAGGTAGAGAATGCTTCCGGCGTTCCACGAGGGATGTTTGAAAAATACTAGATCCCCCTGGCTGGAATCGATAAAGATTCTTGATTCTCTGTCTTCTTGAACATTTAGGGTTCCTTGGAGATATTTTTCTTTCCCATATGCATTTTGAGATAGACACCAATTCTATAGGTTTAGAGTCAGAGACAGCAGTTGTCGGGAGCGGGTTCAACCTTGGTTGTTGATATATGACACGGCTGTGGTATTGCCTCGACGCAATTTTCCCACAGTGTTCGACTCGTGTTTTCGACGCGCTTTTTGTGTTTACATTAATTCAAAGTTAAATTTCTCGTGTAAAGAGCGATAAAATAACATTTAAATTTGATAAAGTTAACAGTTTATCAAAATAAAGTTGTTTTTCAGTGCAAAAAAAACTGAATGTTTTTTTGTGATTTGCATGCAGTCAAACGATTGATAAGATGTGACGTGCACTGCAAGTTCGTATAATAAATATACTTAGGAATTAAAATGTTCCTTGGCGTTGTTTTAACAAATAGCTAGAGCTATATGCAACATGTTGTATTTTCATTGAATAGCTACTACTCTCAAAAATCTGTGTGAACAAAATATTGCCAGTTGCATTTGAAAAAATAACTCACTACAAACTGAGTTTTCTCAGGGCAAAGAAGAAAGGTTTTAAGTATTTAGGTTGGAACTAACAATATTTTGCAAAATTATGAACTATTTTTATTTATACAGCATCTGGATAATTTACGTGCAATGAAGCATAGCGTCGTTAGTCCTCAACTTTTAATCCTGCTATGCAAATGTCACATCATTTTCATTAATCATTTTTTCCGACTGCTTACACAGAGTGCAAACATACAAAATTTACATAGCGGGGGTTAATACTGAGAGTGCTGAGTACAATAATAATAGGACCGTATGTTTTAGAAAAAAATACATGATTGTAGTGTTTTGGTAAATTTTTTGTGCGTGACTTAAAAATAAGACAAACAGAAACAATCTTTTTGTAATAAGGAAAGTGAATTTGTTTAGTCTACGCTCACTCACTGTTTCTCGTTTTACAGCTTCCAGCACCATTAATGAGGGCAAAATTAGCAAATGAAACAGCAGTATAGGGCCTCCAACGTCGTATCACGACCTAAAGATGGCAGAAATTTTTATGTCATAAACCATTAAAAACTTTGATGATTTCTAAAGAGTATCGTCAGGGGCGAATCTAAAATGTTGATAGTCATCTCTGCCCTGCTTATTTCTTTTTTTTGCGATGTTAATTTCAAAAGAAACAGCAGGGCAGAGCTAAAAAATATGAATATTTACCCCCCCCCCCAATTAGGGTTCTACTTTCGCCCCTGAGTATCGTAGCCACTAGAAAAATTTTTCAAGCAGACTTAAAGAAATAAAAGATTAAACACTCCAACAAATCCCTTTTAAACACGACAATTGATTTATATTAATAGGAGATGAGATTCAAAAGTACCATTTCGACTTTGTATATAAATAACTACAAGTCAAGTGATGATTTATAATGAAGCAGGATCTAAAAGTGTTTATGCAATGCATTTTTAATTTTTTTTATGAGCTAATTTCATACTTCGATACCACCTGACTAGTTTTTTACCCATTTGTAACGGAAAGGGTTAGGAGTATGTTGTTTAGTCACACAGTTTTTTGGGAAAACAAACAGGGCATCTAAAGGTGTCAGTAAAAGTATTGTCCTTGTTGAAAGTATGTATCCTAAAACGTTGTTAAAAACGTTCTCTAAGTTATATTCTTTAACGAGTCACGATTGACGATTGACGCATAAAAGATTGCAGACGTTGACAAATCTCTAAAATTGTTCTTTTTAGAAATCTTGGGTTTCTTTTGGTTTTCTCATAAAAGTTTTCCTCGTTGGTTGCACTGCTATTTCTACGCAATTGTGCTTTTAAGGCAATATTAAATTTTTCATTACCACATAATATTATATGAATAGTAATAGAGCATGACCTGATAGCTTGGAAAATGCAAAAAAAATTTCACGCTAACAGTTCATATTATTTTCATTACAACAATCCTAATTTTTTGCATTTCCTTTAGGAGATATGTATACGTAAAAAAACCCACATCTGAAATCTGAAATCTTCTGTTTGGATTCCTATATTTTCTCTTATATTGTTTATTTATGCTTAATCTCTTAATGTAATTGTAAATATTTTAAATTCTAACGCCTTGCAAAATTTTTTAACTTTTTCTTTCATTTCGTTATAACAAATATATAAGATCATACTTGTTTGAGGAATCCCTTAGCTTCATAATGAAATTGAAACAAAGTTGAAGTATTGCTTTTACATTCATCTTCTATAGTTATAACTCGAATCTGAGTTTACAAGATCATGTTTTTTTGGAGTATATTTTTTATTCCTTTGTAGCAACTAATGATAGATTATTTTTATTATTTTGTCTGAAAGGTGTCAAATATGTTTTAATGTGAACAAACCTGATCAAATCCATTTTTATACTTTAATAATATCTTCACATTGTTCCACTTTCTTATATCATGGTAACCATTTGTCATCCAAAACGGAAGAAGTTTACGGCTTCTTTTGTCTTTAATTAATACCATTAAGCCCATGTTGTAACGATGAGCGTAATATTGAAATGTAAAACATGCTTTCTTTCGGTTTATTGTAGGACTTCGAAGATACGTCACTCTTTTGCCAAAGGTTTTCAATGTGTACTGTCCCAAAACTGAAAATTGAGAAGAAACATCTAGCGTTACTTAAGTCGGTACAATAATTGTAATAATAACTTGTAATAACTCTTATTTACTCAAGTAGATTTAACTTTTCAAGTAATTAAGTGTACACGAGCTCTTACAGAAACTCTATAATGATATTATTAAGCTGAACAAATATAATGCGAGTAGTATTTTGGAAAACATCTTAATCTTGTTATACTTACACTAAAGCAATCATAAAACAACCATACAGCAACCATACAAACAAGACAAATCTGCTTAAAAGCAGGGAGCCTTACTCTAAAAGTCTTGGGCTTCTGACCCGTATAGTGGAGTGAGTAGAGTTATTTCATCAGTCACCATGTCGGGTGAAAATCGTTTATAATGAAAGGAATTTACGTTAATTTCGTAGTCTGTTAATTTCATACTCTGCTCACACGACTCGTGTGACGCAACATAAAAAAGATCGTCCAGGTTAATAAAGCCCTGAGAAGGACTGTTTTTGTTGTTGTTGACTGACGTTTCGACAACCTTAGCGGTAGTCATCTTCAGAGTCAAAAGTCTCTGAAGATGACTACCGCTAAGGTTGTCGAAACGTCAGTCAACAACAAAAAAAACAGTCCTTCTCAGGACTTTATTAACCTGGACGATCATCATTTACAAACATATAACGATACTCCCGGGTTCAAACCATTTACTTTATAAAAAAGATCCTAATTCGCCCCAGTAGTTGTACGTGCAAGTAATAACAGCGATGGTTGCTAAATCAAATATTTTTTAAGTAAATGAGAAACGTAGAGTTTTTTTCTTGAGCGTATTAAGGTTTTGTAGGAATGGGCGCAAGGACTGGAAGAGTATAAAGTCCAAGCACGATCAAATATATCTTGCCATTACAATAATACTATAGATAGTAGCCTTTCACAATACGATAATACGTTGTTAAAAGCTTAAACATGCCATGAAGATATATTATATTTGCTGGCAGATTATTCATTAAAAACATAGTTTGTATCTCAATCTGCGCTTTCATTTTTAAAAAATTGCACTCGAATCCGATACGTTCGGGATGAACTTTTAGTTGCCAAAGTGGAGCGTATCGGATTTGAGTGCAAAACTTGTCGGACTGGTTTTCATACCACTTCCACAACAGAGTCAAATCGCTCCGGGAGAGCAATACAAAGATTTTCTCGTACGAAAAGTTATCATGAATCAAATCATCCCAGTATCGTGTGAACAGGGCCTTAGGGGCTGATTACATGAGCCAAGGTAGCTGGGATTTAGCCAAGCGTTTACTAATATTTGCAAATGGAAACGATTCAATACTTATTATCACATAAATCTTCATGAGCAATTTCACGATACTTTGATTTAATAAACTGAATATATAAAACAAACTTTTTTATTACAGACATGTTCCGGCAAATTTGTGCCATCATCAGAGCGAATGAATGTGTTGCAGAATGTGATACTTAAACATATAAATAGAGATAAACGACTTACTGTTGAGATAAGGATAGTATTACTAATATTTACAATTAATGAAAGCATGGAAGTTAGGCATTAAACGGGAGAAAAAATGATTTTATAACTACGCAAAACATTTAAAATTGAAACAATCAATTTGGCAAAGTTTGAGAATTATAACAGGATTGACTTGTTGCGCTTAACAAAGAGTTGTAATTTTTAAACTTGAAGTTTTTCAAGCTTTCAATGCCTCGAAATCATTTCACGCCTTACTTAATTCTGGCTAATTTAAGTCTTCAATCTCAAACCTCTAATGCTTCTCCACTTCTGGCAAGTGGCAGAAGCAGTCACTTTGGTCGCGTGACTAAATCAAATTATGCGTGCGCGTTGGTCGCTTGAAAGTCGTAAGCACACAACAAGAAGAGAGCATTGCGACCACACTGCTACTATCCACATGACGTCTAGTCATCAGGCTAAGTTACTAGCATTTGTTTGTATGAGCTGGGAGAGATAGCAAATTGGAAAAAAGGATAAAATGAAAAAGCAATGGTGCATTTGTCAAATAAAGAAGCGAAGGAGAGCACAAAGAAATTTTCTGCTTTTGTTTCAAGACCGAAGAACCGATGAAGAGCAGTTCAATCCGTACTATTGCAAGAGCCCTCAAATATTTGGCAAATCATCGGTTCATTTTTATAATTCTTGTCTTCAGGATCTAATAAATCAGAAAAATTGCGAAAAGAATTTATGAGCACTTCTTCGTAACCAGCCATCTTTATTCACCTAAACTTCATAAATTAGCACTTTGAGGTAGAAAATTACCAATCACATGCAAGCAACTGAAGCGACCAAAAGTTCAACAGTTCAAAAGTTCAACTTGTTGAACTTATAAAGGGACTAGACTCGCGACTAAATTTACTAGCTTAGTGACCCCACCATTTGGTAGTTTTAATCGAGGGCTTCCACCTTTAAGCTCTCAGATCAAGCCAACCAAAAGGACAACAGTATAATGAAAGTTCTCGGTAATAGTAACAGACAAGACAAATTAAAGGAACAATCATTTGTTATGGGTGCGGAAACAAGGACATAAAATGTTAGAATGTCAGTCATATAATCGTTTGTGTGATTTGTGCAAGAACCGCTTTTACAACACAGAGAAATCAGGCAAGAACAAGAAGAAAACGACGAATACAAACGATGCTGCTTAATCAGTAAGAGATAATTATGTTAGTAATAATGACATTCGTGAGGGTCGTTTATATGCATTTAATGTCAACGTAGATAGAACAAACGCAGACCAGATTAATCACGTACTTGTAGACTATGGGCAACTACTTACATAGTTCATGACATGAGCAAATTGGTTAGGTTTGACACAAAATTCATGCTTAAAAGCCACTTCATTGAGTTGCGAAGAGGAATATGTCAAATAAGTCTGCACAAAGAAGAAGAGATGTAGAGATCAAAAATAGTGATGTTGAAGGTGTATTGCACGAGGCTCTTCTATAGGATGTTTTCTATGTTCCATCCTATAAACAAGATATTTTCTTTGTGCATTCTGCAGTAAGTAAGGCAGCTACTGTTACTTTCTCATAAGGTTGTGCCAAATTAGTTAGCCCTCTAATGGGAAAGAATTTCCAGTTGAGAGAGAAAGAAAATTATATTATCTTGATGGTGTAATCTCATCAGGCATGACTAAGCAAAATAGTAAACAAAATCTTTAAAGCAATGATATGATATCCTAGGGCACTGCAATCCAACTGTTATTATTGCTTTAGAAAATGTGGTTGATGGCATGAAAATAGACAAGAAGGAAGAATTTGACTGTAAAACATGTTCAGAAGGAAAAATGAGTAAGAGCAGACGTAGAAAACCGGACAGACGTGCAAATGCGACTCTAGAACTAGTCCAGTGTGATTTAGCAGGTCCAATAGATCCTGTATCCGGAAGTGTTTATCGACAAGCACTAGCTTTGGTAGATGATGTTACGATCACCGTAACAAGAACGATTTTCTATTCTATATTATTATTAAATCAAAGAAAGCTATTAGAAAGAAATAACAGGATATAGTATAACCTTATCTATCTACAACAACAATAAATAGCTCTGCTTCTCAGACAATATCTTTAATTCTTCTCCGTCCTCAAATCCTTATAACGATTCATCCAATAGCAAATAGTCAAATATCACGAGCGTTTGGTATCTTTCGTGTTACACAATATTCTTCAATAATCATCCTTCTCACTCTAGCTGTCCACAGCTTATATTTGTTAAGAAGCTCACTATAAAGTATGGCGTAATGTCATTTTTATAGTTATGGTATAATTGCTATTTACATTATATGACGTAATGTAACTAAAATTAAAATGTAACTACACAGTCAACATGATGAAGCTAATTAATAAGTCTGACGTTATCTTAAGTAACACTTCCCTCTACAAAAAAGGAAGTTTGTAAGAACGTTCGTCTCTTCAAATTACCACGACAAACAGACTGCTAATAAATTGTCTTTACCCTTGATATGCTGTATGTCCAGATTGTATTCTTGTATCAGTAAACTCCATCAAGCAAATCGTTGATTTTTGTCTTTAAGTTTATGGAGAAACATCAACGTGTTATGATCACTGACCACAGTAATGGATGAATTAGATGAGGTAACATGAATTTGAAACTCCTGCAAAGTACATCGTACATAATTTGTCTCAGATCTTTTTGTTGCGACTCTTCTAGGTGATTTAGTTTGTTGTCCACATTCTTTAATATGTCTGAGTTGCTCACCTTATTATGTCATGTGACAGAACTTCGGGCTTACTAGAACTGTCCTTGGTTGAAAGACTTACAGTAACAGCACTAAGGTGGCGGGAACCAGAGCTTTTTCTTCTATTATAGTAGGGTTTAAGCATGTTAATGTGGAAATAGCTGTGTAGATTTACGGCTATCAGTTGAATAGATGACATAATTTACCTCAATCGTCAACTCTTGTACTAATAAGGACCAAAATATTTAGCCTGAGTTGGTGCCCAGGAACGAAGAGTAAGACAAGAACTTTATCACCAGGTTGAAAGTATCGATTAACTGCATTTTTATCAAACTGTTTTTTCATCGAGATCTGACTAGGATTGAGGTTTCCTTGACCAAATCACATGCTTATGAAATTCGGGTGCGAAAGTAAGAAACAGTGATACAGATTCAAACAAAGGTCATTTCACAGATATTTCTCTTTCAAGAGTTTTAATGATCCTCTAACCGTATAACCAACTATAAATTTAAAAGGGCTAAAACCTAGATAGTCCTGAACCAACTCTCTTGCAGCAAACATTAGTAAGTAAATTTCTTCAACCCAACATTTCTCCATTTCAAGGCAATAACTTTTTATCATAGACTTTCTGCATAATAGGAAGAAGATGAAAATTGGTGGACTTTAAGTTCATACATGACATGTTGAAACAGTCCTATTATCAAATTAGTACCTTGATCCAACTGAATCGACTCTGGTAATCCAAAAAGTGAGGAGAATTTTATGAGAGCATTCAGAATGGTTTTTGTCTT